AACTTTGGAGAAGAAGCCAGGGTGGACAGGAAGGGAGCAGCTGGTCACACAGATGGTGTCAAAGCTCATGATCTGATGTTCTGGATTTCGGCTGATGACACCTGTGGTGGGGGCTCCTGGAAAGTGAAATGTATCATAGAAAACTGGGAAGAAGGCTTCAGGCAAATTCCTGACCAAAGTGAATTGTTTTGAACCTTGAGATTAGGCAGTAACGCTGTCGGTGAAACCATAAACAAAACTGTAAGCTAGATCATAGGCAGGATATCATAAATAGCATAGGAAGGAGGATGGTAGTGGAAAAGGATGTTCCAGATGATGAGAAAAATCTGGGTTACATGGCTATTCTAGTGTCTCATGAGATGACAATAGATTTTTTTTTTTAAGCTAAATTAAGTTTGGGGAAGTCTACATTTTAGATACTCTCTGAAACTCTACATTGCATATTAGCGTAGTTAAGGCTTTGAGAAAACCCACAAATAAAGCAACCTATCTGTTTTAAGCCCTGAATTTGCCATCGCAGTTGGGCCAGGTAAAGACATACAGGACACCCACTCTACCTACCAGCCATGCGGCACTGATGTTCTAACAGACCACTTTAGAAAATCTGGATCTGTCTGTTATCAACGCACAAAGTATTGAAATGCACAAAAATTAAAAATTTCACAAAACTCAAAGCATGGGGAAGAAAATAAACATGAAACAATAACACAAGGAGGTAAATGTTATGTTATAGATAAACCGAGATGCTTAAGTATGGGAGGTAGGGCTGGAGTAAAACAATATAACGGTATGTTTCAGACAAAAGAAACCAATTCAGTGTAATGATATTAAGCAGCACTTGATAGGAAGAGGGTAGGCAGGGAAGTTGAGGACAGGGGGCACAGAATCATGGCGGGCACACGTGGGGAATGAGAAAGGGGAGGAAAATGGAGAGGGTGTCGCTGGGCGAACCACAACAGCACGTCCGAGAGGAAAGGCGCAATGCAACCCCGGGCTAAGTGATCCGATCTCCTGGGAAATCCTTTTTGATAAAATCAGAGGAGATAAAAAAGCTGTGCCTTCCTTTGCTGATAATTTTAATCTCTCAATAAGCCCCAGGAGTAGGAAGGCATGGGACTGGGTGTCAACTGAGTTTTAACCAATTTGGGAAGAGGGGTTTGTCATTTCGACATACCGGAAACTCTGGGAGAAGGCTAGGTGCTCGTAAAATCCAGCCTCTCTGTAATCCTGTCAGAGACAGTTCGGCCGAGATGTCTTGGGAGGCAGGCCACACTAAACAATCTTTACGCCCCTTCCAAGACAGCAGGGCCTATGTCTCACATCCCGCAAGCACCCGGGAAACTTGCAGACGCGGCCCCGCGCAGACACAGACAAGACCCCACGCAGACACAGACGCGGCTCCACGCAGACCGCGCAGAAGCGGCCCCGTGCAGATACAGACGCGGCCCCACGCACACAGACGCGGCCCCGCGCAGAAGCGGCCTCACGCAGACACAGACGCGGCCCAGCGCAGACCGCGCAGAAGCGGCCCCGCGCAGACGCAGACGCGGCCCCACGCAGACTGCGCAGAAGCGGCTGCCTGCGGTTGTGTTGAAAGCAGCAGTGACCACAGGGCACGGACACTACGAAGAGCACAAGATAAGTCATATAATATAAATACGTGATAGAGCTATCAGAGCTGAAACAGTGTGGTGCTGGGACAAAAACAGATCGGTAGTACAGGCAGATACTTCCAGAGTAGATTAAAATACACATAAGAATGGAAGGTCTGATCAAAGAAGGAAGTAAGCCTATGGAGGCACAGAAGATTGGGAATACCTATCAACTTCTAGCTTGGGCTAAGCCTTTCGGTAGTTAGAAATGGAATAAAGAATTCATCAAGGAAAAGTTAAACCTATTTAAAAAAAAAACCAAACAGCATTAAGGGGCAAGAAACAGACTAGAGAAGTATTTTTAGGAAATAGGAATGCCAAGGATTAACATGCTTAATTGTTAACCACCAAACGTAAACCAAAAACAAACAAAACTCCACCAAGAACTCTGTGTGATAAATGGGTATGGTATGAAAGTAATCTATTTACAAAAGAGGAAACATGAATGGAAGATAGGGAAAGTAAATAATTTACAAAAGGTAGTTATAAAACAATTTAAGGCCAAATAATAGGATGGCATCTTTGCATATCAAATTAGTAAATAAATATTAAATACACAAGTAGATTTTGGAAATTAACTGCCCAGTATTTCACTTTAAAATGTTCATTTCTTGTGACCTACTAGTTCAACACATAGGAGTCTATCCAAGGACAGTTAATTCTATTTGCTGAAAAGCTCTATGCATGGAAATGTTCATGTAATATTATGTTTTTTAAAAAAAGAGCCAAACAGAAAGAAGGAATAAGTTAATATTTAATGAATGCTTACTACATGTAGGTACTATGTGGTTATTGCATGTAAGTTATTCTACTAAAATCCCACAACAGTCCCATGAAATAGACATAATCATCATTTCACAGAAAGGTAAAATGCTTCTACATGCTTCAAGAGATTAAGTTCTCCAAAGAAACTTGGCTAGGAAGAGTAAAGCAATGGAAATAGCCTACATGTAAACACTGGAATGGTTAAATAAATTGGAGATTCCTTCAATGGATTAAATTTCTTAAACATAAAACAATAAAATGGAAAAATAATTTAGGATAAGGTGTTACTAAAAATGCATCATAGAACAGTCTGTTTTCCATCCATGTGGATGGAAAAAAGACTGGAAGAGAACACACACACACCAAGCGAATAAAACTGAACCCGACCCTGAGGCAGAGTCAGCCGGCAGCCCTGGGAACAAAGCAAAGTGCTCTTACACTGGCGGAATGCAGACATGATGAAGGGGCACCCAGGAAGACCCTGAAAGGCTCAAAAACAGTTTAAGCAGTCTGGCTAATCCGGGAGATAGAGAACGTAATTCAGGGCAGATACGGTAAATCTTCTCTAACGAGCAGGGCTGTAATTCTTTTCATGGTAAGTTGCTGGGAAAATCATAAATTGGTCATGGTTAAAATGTCAGAAGACTCAAAATCATAAGAAAAAATAATGAATTATTGAGGTTGTGGCTTACTCTGGAAGTTAGACAACATTTTCTGAGAGAAGTGGGAGGTGGAGACGAGTAATTTCTGCTAGATGAATATTTCAATTAGGCAGTTGGGAAAATTTAGGTGGAAAAATACAAACCTTTGCTCTCAAGTTAGTAGAAGGAAGTATCTGTCTGGGTTAAGCTTTAGGGAAAAGGGAGTCTGGATAAACACATGCTCGAACCATAGAAAATGTCACTTATGTACATACATACACGTCATGCACCAGACTAATCCTCAACTCCACGTAAATTTTATAATAATTTGGAGAATTTTATAAATATCCTAAGTATAATGCTTTGTAACTCAATCTTTTTTTTTAAGATTTATTTATTTAATTTACAGAGAAAGCACACATGCCCATGAGGTGGGAGAAGGGCAGAGGGAGAGAATCTTTAAGCAAACTGCCCGCTGAGCATGGAGCCCAATGCGGGGCTTGATCTCATGACCCTGAGATCAAGATCTGAGCTGAAACCAAGCGATGCTTAACTGACTGAGCCACCCAGGTGCCCCTGCAACTCAATCTTTGACTTTCCTTTTTCTGTCTCCCACTTTACCCTGCCTCCTGTCTTCTCTCCTGTTCTTTCTTATTATATGAAAAAATAAACCATATGTAAATACATATACATATAGGTATACACACATGTAATTTACTGTAACTAGTTTAGAATTTTCTACCTATGGCCACTATTAAAAAGCAACAAACCAACCAACCAAATATGCTTGGGCAACTCAGCACCAAATACATAGGTATGTGGGTATAGAAACAACCTCTCCAAAAGCTATTGGTTTCTACCTGGTGTGTACCGTCTACCCTCATCTAACTTGATAGGCAAAAGTGAATTGTTCTTCTGACTTTAAAACAATGACATAACATATATACTGACTGTTGCCTTTCCATTGCAAATTCCGAGAGGACAGGGACTACACCTGCTTTGTTTACAGCTGGAGGCCCCACACCAGGACAGTAACTCAGTAAGTACTTGCTGAATGAACCGATGAGTGAGTGAGTGAATACTGCAAATCTTAGGTATCTTCACAGACAACTTAAGTCCTACCTCCCTGATAATATCTTCTCTTAAAGCCCCAGTGGTTCATCCTCTGGAAATTACTACATTATTAGCCTGCACCATTACTTAACACCTGATTCTGCACATTATTTTTATTGCTGTTTTTTGCTGCTCTGTTTTGCAATTTAGGGAGACACAGTCCTCAAAGACACACACACACACACACACACACACACACACATTCTGTTTCCCAAAGTACTTGTTATAGGGCACATGGAAAATCCTCAATAAACATGTATTAAATGAACTGATGAAATCTTTTAACTGGCCTTCTACTTTGTGACATTTCTAAACATTTTCTGTATTGGATGCATTGTATTATGATTCTAAAGTGTGATGGGAAAAATGTAGAATATGGAGTCAGCTGAATTGGGTTTCTAGTTATGCTTCGTCAGTGCTGGAAAAGCCAACTAAAGGCTTGTCCTCTGCTTCCCTGTCTGTTACATGGGAACATTAACAAATAAATAAACAACATCTCCTTGCCTCAAAAAGATGACTGTGGAATCAAATGGCGTAATGTATGTGAAAGAGTTTTGCGAATTGGAAAGCAAATGTTAGCTCTTCTATGTAGCAATTAAAAATATGAACTTGATATTGCAATGCTACAGAAGATACATGGCTTTTTTCCGAGAATGGTTATTAGGTAGGAGAGTGAGGTGACGAGAAGAACCTCCAGCACAGCCTGCCAAACATGCCCCTGGTCATAAAGCACAGACTCTACTCAACATTTTCGTGTGAGGGAGATGACTGGGCCCCCGTCCCCCACACCCTCTGGCACTGCCACAAATCCCTTCAAACCCAAGCTTACCGGACACGAGCTGCTGTCCAGGCAGCCCCACGGGAACCATGCCCAAGTTATTCATGGCGGTAGCCCAGGCTGTGGGATCTGTCACGGACATGTTGAGCTGCGTGGTGTCTATCGCTATACTCCCCAAACCATCGGCTGCTGTGGGGAGAAACAAACCGTGACTTCCAGTCAGTAGGTGAGAGCGTTTGTTTTAAAGGAGAGCACACATTTCTGGAGACGTGAGACTTCATTTAGCACATTCCCAAACCACACAAAAATAAAGCACTGTAATCTACAGCAGTGTTTTCTCCAGATGTAAACATGAAAGAGTTTCCAAATACATTCTGGGAGGAAACTTAATGACATGTAGTGTGTATTATACACAGCATGCCATTAAGAAAGTACTCCTGGAAAAACAAAACAAAACACACAAAACAAAAAAACACCTGAAGAACTGCTGCTCTCTCTCTCAGTGAAAAAACATTAGTTAAGTTCCAAGGTTGAGAGGCAAAGCAGGACCACTCCTTTGGTAAGTCAACTGGCTTAGTAGACTAAAAATAAATACAATCATCTGCTTCTGAGGAGAATTCTGGAGCAGGCACACCTTCTAACTAATTAATAGAATCTTTAAGGGCGCCTGGGTGGCTCAGTTGGTTAAGCAACTGCCTTCAGCTCAGGTCATGATCCTGGAGTCCCGGGATCGAGTCCCGCATCGGGCTCCCTGCTCGGCAGGGAATCTGCTTCTCCCTCTGACACTCTTCCCTCTTGTGCTCTCTATCTCTCATTCTCTCTCTCTCAAATAAATAAATACAATCTTTGAAAAAAAAAAAAAGAATCTTTAAAAACATTGTCAAGTAGCCAAACTGGTCCTGACTGAATTCATTAGTGTTACCTTGTAACATATTCTTTCCCTTCTAAGCTTTCTGGATCATTACATTAAAGAAATGCAGGTGTCTGCCTAAAATGACTCCTCCAAAATATTTCTTCCAAGTTCAGACTTTCATCAAAACAAAATAAGCCAATAAATAATATTAAAAACAAATAGCACAGAGCTTTAAAAAAAACTCAGCAAAATATGTACAATTTGACTTAATGCTTCTGGATGTACACTAGTTGTACGGCCTGGTTTCTATAAGGATAGCAGGTTCCCAGGTCAATGCACCTGTTCATGGCCGGGCAAGCTTTTCCACTAACTCAGAACACCTTGCTGTGTCCTGTGCTGGCCGCCCCTGACATTTACCTGCAGCCATCATCTGAGGAAGCTGCTGGGGACACCGGGTGATGCTTTCAACGCCACCTGCATCTACTACTGAATTAGGAGCATCCTGGGTGGCAGGAACGCTCTGATGGCTGAGTGCAGGGTCCCCACGGATGTCATCGGATTCTGCAAAAGGGGAAAGCGGTGTGGTGAGTGATCGTGACAGTGACCTGAGGGAGGCTTCGAGGACAGAACTGTTGTCTAGGCAAAAACAGACAAGCGACAACGGACAAGTTACGGTCACAGAGTCACGGGCATGGGGCCCAGAGCAGGAGCTGCTTCCGGCACCCCAGCAGCTGGGTCCTGCCTGGGTTCCCAGCTCTGGGTGCTGGGCAGCCTGAATAAGCAGCCCCATGCGCGAGCGAGTGAGCAAGCGAGCAGCTAGTGCCTTGCCTCCTCCTGAAGACACATCACAGATGGGCTTATCAGCCCCTGAACAGCCTCTTCCACATACTACACATCAATGGAGAGGGCAGACTCAGGGCTAAATATGATTTTTTTTAAAGTTAAAAAATTAATTGATGTTATTTTGGAAGACGGTCGTCTGTGAAATGTATTCGGAGAGGGAAAAAATAGGGAAGGAGAAGAGAAAGGCAAGAAGCTCTTCGCTGTGAGGCTGGTAAAGGAGTGCACCCAAATTACAATAGTCAGGAAAGGCAAAAGGAAAGAATGGCAGGCGGCTCAGAAAAGGAGATCGAGAGGATGTTGAGGCAGCAAAGGAAACGCAGTTGTTTCTTTTAGTTCTACGGAGATAAAGTGAACAGGGCACAGTTTGTTTGGTCTGAATTTTCCCTGGAGTCTCACAGCGCGCGCACACACACACACGTGCGTGCGCGCACATGTATTTTTATTAAACTTTTCAGAGCACTTTTCTAATAAAAACAAATAACAATAAAACATTAAATAAAGCTGCAAAGGAAAGGGTCCCTTTATTGCACACTATTTATAAAATGCTACGCCTTCTCTCCATTCTTAAAAACGCGAAACCACGGAATTCATACCTACATATTTTTTTATAATACGTATTTTAAGTGCACTTTAACCAGTTCAAAACTGAGAGACAAAACACTGCTTAGATGTGTGATCTGAGGAGATTGAATTTTAAGTAGATTTGATATAACAATTGAATTTAATTTAGGTATAAACAGAAATTTTTTTAAAGATTTTATTTATTTGAGAGAGAGAATGAGATAGAGAGCATGAGAGGGAAGAGGGTCAGAGGGAGAAGCAGACTCCCCGCCGAGCAGGGAGCCCAATGTGGGACTCGATCCTGGGACTCCAGGATCATGACCTGAGCCGAATGCAGTCGCTTAACCAACTGAGCCACCCAGGTGCCCCTCAAACTTAGGAATTTTTTTAATCCATATTTCTGCCAAAGGATATTGTAGAATTCGAGGTTATGGCCCATTTGTGCATATCTAGTGCAAAGTTTGGCCCTTTTATGGTATGCTCTTTTATTTCTTTGATTCTTAGGTACCCGAATCAGTACTCCCTTTGAACACTATACTGTCAAAGAAAACTCACTGCCTTTTGAGTATGAGTTTAGTTCAAATGGAAGATCAGATTTCAATGTTTCAAGGAGAGGTGAATAAAATGAGCAAATTGTTTCCATGGTCTCCACAAACCCCTAGTGTGAGACCAGAGGGCATGCCAGATAGTGGGGAAATTTTTCCAATTGTTTGTCAGCAAGGTGAAATATCATCATGCAATAGAAAACAATTCAACTCCAGGAGCAAACTGCACTCAGGACAAATGTTTTATACCTTGCAATTAAACTCTACTACCCAAACGAATTGAGAACTTGCTTATCTATGGTGAATCAATTATCTTGGGCAATGGATGCCTTCGGATGACAAGTCTCACCATAGAAAATCAACTCAGTAACATTAAGACATAGCTAACCTAAATGTGTGCCCTTTGGCTACCCACACACCAGCTATATTTCTATGATGAAACTTGAAAGCACTTTCCCCTCTCCACCTCCAGCCAGTTCAGATCACCACAGCAGAGTCTGGCTACACTGTTCATTCTTAGACTCAAATGGCCATGTAGTAGAGTCATTTCAGATCATTGCAAGTTCACTGTCTTCCTTTATCTTCCCAAATGAAGTTTAGTTGGCTGGCTTCCTTCCAGCTTGGGTTCTCCCCAAATGGGCATTAATCACAACTTTCTGTCCAATGAGTCTACGGTTCTGGAATATTACAGCAGAGAACATCCCTTTACTTTGTAGACTTTACAACTTGTACCTGACCAGCCATATTTCACCTTGACTCTTTGCAACAGTATTTTAGGGATGGTGTCAGCTTTCCATGGCTCCATAACTGTCTGTTCTGATGGTAGTTTTTTTCTTTAGTGATTATGGTGTTACAAAGGGGCATCAAATGTCCTGGGGGCCCATTGTGCCTACCCACACTTTCATGCCCATCCTAAACGGATGCTGTTTCATTGAGAGCATCATTGAAACAAAAACAAGCAAAACCCCATTGCTTTGTTGGCAAGATGTGGTTTGTAAACCTGAATGTTTGTAAACGGAGACTCTGTGACATTTCTTACATGTCTGTAATCTACCAACCCAATGGTTTCAATGTCATACAACTTCATGTCACTACTGTGTACCCAGAATGGTAAGTCTAAAGTAAGTTCTACAGCATCTTAGGCATATCCAAGAGTCTCAAGGATGCCATGAAATTCTTCTAAAAATGTAAATTTCCTTGATGCTCAGACGAAAGATATTTTTAATTAATTACTGCCTAGTAATTTATGAATAGCGGCAATTTATGAATGATTTTCATACTCTACTAACATCTATCGTTTCTATTGAATACCTGCCTCTTTAGATGACTCAAAACCATAATGCCTAATTTATCATTCAAATCAATTTCTCTGCCTTAGTGTTATTTCTAAACTATAGAAAAGATTAATATTGTTAATGGTGTTTATTTACACACAGAGATGCGGGGAGTTAAAAAATTATAGCTAATAAAGTACTTTGAATATAGTAAGTGCTAATTATTATTTTATTTGGAAGTGTAGTGTTTCTATTAAGGTACCTTGGGATCTTACTGTTCTACTGGGTAATTATGCAATTAATTCTAAAACAGTAACACTTAATATTTCTAAAAGTAAGCATTGCCTTAGTTTTCTATTCCACACCTAAATGGTAGCAGAATGTTTCTTCATTTTCTACAAATCCTTTATAAAATAATATAATGTGATTTAAAAGGTGTATGATTTTTTTCCTCTAGGTCTTTTTGTGTCTGTGCAACTACGAAAGCTTTCAAGAGACTGATGACCAATTATGAAATTGGCAGTTTGAATTTATAGCTTTTAGTGCGATAAGATCATCACAAGACAATCAGATGTACAAAATGCCAAAGATAACAATGCAGCTTTATCTAGGGTTCAACTGAACTCTAACCCGTTCTTTGTTAAGGTACATTCAAGTACAAAACCTCATACTCAATTTAGTAACTGTTCAACAAGGATCTATTTATGTTCAGGATTTCACTAGGCTATATCAATGGGGTAAATAATTTTTGAAACTCACCAAGCCTATGCAAATACTATGTTTCCCCCTTCCATCCTCAAAAACAAACAAACAAATAGCAGGGGCTTAGCTCACTGTAAATAACACAACTCTTGCTAACCCTGTCCAACTTTTACAGGTCCCAAGGATACATACATGCTATGAATAATAAAACCCATCTGTAACTGTCTACAAAGCACAGATTGCTATAAAATGGGGGGGAGATGAGTTAAGTTTTGAAAATTCTCTTTCTTTTTAATTTAAAAGAATGATTTTGTTTGATGTTAAGTCCTCAGGTTCATGTCAACTTCAATAGAAAAATAATTACAGTGAGAAAATCATATTTATTAATGTGTTAAGAGTTGATTCCAAAGGAAACTTATTTCATATGACATCTGAATCTTATTTTATAGGAATTATTCATTAGCATTATCATGGCTTATACTTATAGCAAAAAGAGAAATGCATTCCTATCCAAAGTTCCACTTTTCTTTTCCAGCATGAAGAAAATATTTCACTTTGATGTTCAGGTAATCAGTAGTATACTCCTGGGGTTATAGAAATGTTCCCTCGCTTAAAAAAATACAGAATATTGTTAAAGAGATGTTATGTATTAACTCCATGATTTTTAAGCAACTGTATGAATAATAAGGGAGACATTTCTGCTTCCTATAATGGTAAACTAAGTAGTTCAGATAATTCTCCCACTGAGAAACAACTAGAAAAGCTTAATGTCTTTCATCTGTTTTATAAAATTCTATTATTCAAATAATCCCAAAGGACACACTCTAATTACTATAGAGGGCTACTAGGCTTCTAAGGAGAATGGGCCTGCCACGTACTGGGTCTTAATGTTTTACTAATCTTGGAAATGAGTAGCATCTGCAAGTTTTGAGGCAGAGTGGAATTGCTTTGCAAACTGTGGTCAAAGAGGACCCAAAGGCTAAGCGCTCTCAGGGGAAAGAAAGAAGGGATCTTGGGGACCACCCCTGAGAAAAAGGCACTTCGGACAAGAGAAATGACTGAAGCAGATTTTCAGGTGGCTCATTGGGAAGTACATAATGTATATAAGCATTTTCTTGTCCCCTCTATAGAAATGCCTGTAAAGTCTACATGACCCCTTAATTCTTAGCACTAATTTTGGGGGTGCTGGATGTGCTTTAGGGGAGCAGCTGATAATAAAGATTACCTAAGGTACCACATGATGAAGCATGATAACATTTTCAAATCTGTTAAATATACAGGATGTTGGTTATGAATGATCAGTATCTCCTGATTAGTAGAAATGAAAAGATTAAGGTTTTGAAGAAGAGATTTAGATTTAACTGGATTTTATGAAGAATTAGATTTTATGGGGGGATTTCTGATGAGAGAATTGTAAAGTCGGAATATTCTACCAAAGAAAGATACAAAGATTCTTCTCAGTGATGGAGAGAAAAGTCACCTCTTGGAGATGGTTATAGGCAGAGGCTGGAACTGGGCAAAGAGCAATTCAGGCAGAGCTAAACCTTACAGCACGTTTTGGCAAAGCCATGAAATCAAAAGGTCTTCTTTAATACCTAAACGGTTACTCATATATTTATAAAATCA